TATATATATAAATATATGGTGGCCTACGTATATATATATGCGTGTGTATATACTTATATATATGTGGTGGGCTATACGTTATCTGCGTTAACGTGCTGCGTTAATGCCAGACTTATCGGGCAATAAAAAATATATAATCTATTCCAACAGCTGGGTTGGGAACTGGGTCTACACTAATGATGACTTTCACCTTAATATTTTACCTTGGATGTATATCTGGGGTCAAAAACAAATCAGTTTTCCAAACTGTATAGGCATACTGTGAAATTACCACATCGATTGTGACTTGCTGACATTGATGAAGCTTTAAGCACAGGTCTATCAGCCAAGTTTACCAATCCCCATGCTCAGTGGATGGCCACAAGCTGCCAGCCCATCAGCACGGCTGATGGGCTCGAACTCGTTCTCCAGGGGGCCATAGGTGACCCATCTGACAAATTACCTTCAAGGCGAACTATCATGAGGAAAATACATGACCAGCATGCCGCAGAGAAAACCAGGTTGATCGAGGCGAAGTGTTTGTCGGATTTTTGGAGACACTATATTGTTAAAGTGGAACATCTATAACTGGAAGTGGGACACACTATGTTTTATACAGCAAAAACTAACAAATTAGCAAAAAAAAAGTATTCCTAACTTTCTCAAAATCTTAAGTAAGAAGAAATTAAACAAACATAAAAAAAGTAAACCTTTTCTTTTAAATTCTTGAGGTAGCACCCATATATCTTGAATGCCTTTGGCAGAATTCAAATAAGCGATTTTATTCTAGATTAATCTAAATTAATTCTAAGATTCTTCTGTTCTGACTCTTGAAGGAAGCGGTTGCAATTTCCTGCTGCTCCAGCACCTTCCTGCTCTATCCCTGCTTTGCTGTGTCTTGTCTTTTCTGAGCTCTCTCTTCATATCACCCGAACCCAAAAAAATGGATCTGGTCAGCTGGTTCGCTCAGTTCAATTGATCAAATTTTCTCAACTGGAAGACAGGGAAAAGGGAACCTGTCCTGTCCTGCTCGGACATGCTTCATGGGATACACCATGGACTCCTGGAAGGCTTGGAGGATGGTGTGTTTTACAATGCTGTCAGTGGAGGATATAAAATCTCTATGGATCTTTGGTTCTATGATACTCTGATTTTTCCTTTTGGCCTTTGGAGGATACCTGATATATCTACAATTACAAAGGATGTCGGCGGCAATTTGGGAATTGATCAGGCTGCCGCCAGCGGTTGACACCCTCACAAAGATCGGGAGATGAGCTGCGTGCTGGGCGTGATTGAATGCAGGCTGGCTGCGGTGGTTGAACACAAAGGTGAGATGGGATCATATCTTGGATGTGCATGCTCGCTTCAAGGCGGAAAAGCCCAACAAACTTGGAATATTAGACTCGCCACGTACAGCCAGCAAGAAAAGACTCAAGGCTGATGGAAAATTCCTGGGCAGCCTGCTCTCTAAACAATAAGTGTTATTCTGGATTCAGCCTCCCCCCTTTATCTGATCTCTTCTGGATGTTATGGCAAAAGGGCACAGAAGAACTTCTCCCCCACTCTCATACCCGCGAACATCTGTGGATGCGACCAGAACTGTTGATAAACTTCCATCTCATCAAGGACAATTGCCTGTGGTCAGCGTTCACGTACATATTGAATGCACTCATCATACACACACAACAAATTCTCAAATGTCAGATTGACTTCATGTGACTTTGCCTCTGATGTTACCCTCTGCTAAAATGTCTGTCTCATGTTACATGTGCTTTTCCTGTGCTGAGGTTTTTTGATATCTCAAACTGTTTCCTGTCAAGGATAAAGTGTGAAATATGCAATTTTTCCACCGTCTTTTCCCCAATGTGGCTCCTATCTTTCCACAGTGATAAAGGCAGCGCTATAGGTAACCGTCTGGGGCCTGGAAAGCCAGGTAACCGGTGGGAACGTGGCAAGCCATAAGAACGCGCCTAAGGCAGCGTTCTGCGGCACACTTGACCTCAGTAAATTCGTTCCCCCACTCAGCCCCCCCACCACAATGTATGTGATGTGTTGTGATGGTTGGTTTGTACTGAAACTGAAATCTCAATTGCAATGTAAATTGTATTTAACAATAAAGATTGATTCATTGATTGATTACAGTGAGATTAATCTAGGTTAAAGAAATTAATCTATGACCACCACTAATACGTACATATATATACACACACAAACTTTATATATATTTAATATATATATATATATATATATATATATATATATATATATATATATATATATATATATATGCACACACATATAATTATGTCTGTGTGATAATATAAGGTGATTGAAGTTGAACTGTGATCTTTTTTCTGCAGCCTGGCTCTTGTTTTACCTAAATATAGTGAAAACTTCATTCAAGCTAAACTTGGGGATGATATAAAACAAGCCATCTGTGAGTATGAGAATCACACAAACAGGTTAATAATTTTAAGCCTGGTTGTTTTTCAACTGATACCACTGCAATTTGTTGTTCTCTTGGGTGTCTTCAAACTTTAGCTCTAGCAGCAGCCACTCCTTTATATTTTCAGATCAGATTTCTGAAGTCCCACTGTGCCTTTCTTTTGTAGTTTAACCCACCGGTCATTGAATCTTTATTCCTCGCAAACTCCTCAACATGCCTTTTCCCTCATGTACCCAACTTAAACATTAAACCTTGTGATCTTGTCTGCATTAGTTAATTCTATTCCTCCTTACACCCTGCATCTGGATCTCCTTGGACTTGGGGAGTATCAGAAAATGTTCCTCACTTTGTCATTTACTATTATGTCTATATTACCAAATGAGTCTCAGACGTCACAATAGCATGACTTTTCTTTCTTAATTTAGACCCAAAAATTGATCTATTTTAAGCCCTCACCTTAACTTGGTTTCCCAGTCTTTTTTAGTGTATTATGTATACAACACTCCTCTCCTTATCCTTGTTATTCTCAACAATTCCTTCCTCTTGCATTTTCTTAATCTCTTTATTTTTTATCTTTGCTTTTAGAATCTGAGACAGGCTGATATAGTAATGTTGTCTTGTAAAAGTAAAAAAAAAATAAATAAATAAATAAATACGGTAAGAGGATGGAGGAATATCATGGAAACGTACATATTATGTAGGTCCATCTGTACCTCCTACACGTTTGATTATATTGTTTGTCTTTTTCTTTTTTATCACTGAACCTTTTTCTCTGCCCTTCTTTTATGCTGGAATTTTAAAGCTTCACCTTGGGGCAAGTACTCTCTTTTCTATTTCTTCAATCATCTCTCTACTATGTAATTCCCTGCATGAGCCCTGTTTGTATTTATTATTCATGTTTGTTTGGTTCCATGTCACTCACACAGTGGGATGCCAAAACCTGAAGGGAAGATGTGTTTATGCAACTGTGCAAGCCAAAATTATTTTTTTTATTTGTAAATTGTTAAATCTTAGCTTATCTTTCAAAATAGTATTATGTAAGTTTTTACCCAGCTTTATATACAGCACTTGGCTCATTGCTCAATGCTCTGTGCAGGCTGCCTTTCTGAATAAGTTGCCTGTTTAACTTGAATCTGTTGCTGAATAAGTAATACGACCTAGAGCGCCACTTTACGGCAGTCTGAGCTCCCCTTAAAGGATGTCATCGGGCAATTTTTTGGCTCTCTGATGCAGGATTTGAGCTAGAATCTAGCCTCATCTTTATGAATAACTCCATGACTTCTCAGTCTGCTGGTCGATTGTGGTCTCCTAACAAAACATGGAAGAAAACTGTTTCATTTTGTGACTACAGTGTTGCTAGTTGCCTTCAGGGAGGCTAAAATTTGGAAGTTACAGGTCTAGTGAAAACTCCATGCACAAAGACCCCGGGCCAGGAATCAAATCCGGAACCTTCTTCCTGCAAGGTGACAGTGCTATCAACTGCACCACTAAACAGCCCCATGGAGCTGCATGGAGTTTGCATGTTCTCCCTGAGCATGGGTGGGTTCTCTCCGGGTACTACAGCTTCCTCCCACAGTCCAAAAACATGACTGTTAGGTTATTTGGCTTCTCTAAATTCTGCTTAGGTGTGAGTGTGTGTATGAATGGATGTTTGTCCTGTTTGTTTCTGTGTTGCCCTTGTGATGGACTGGCGACCTTTTCAGGGTTTACCCCACCTCTTGCCCATAGATAGCTGGAGATAGGCACCAGCAGCCCTTGCAACCCTGCTTGGGCTAAGCGTGAAAGAAAATGGATAGATACAGTTCTAGCTACCAGAGTGGTTAAATGTTACACAGTGCTGTTTTATCATACTGTATACAATGCAAGAAAATTCACAGTTAAGAAAATACACTTTTGATACACAGTTTTAAATTTTTCAAATTATTTTCATTCAGATTATTGGTCTGTTTAGGGTCAGAATCCACTTACGGTAATGGTCATTTTCTTTTAAAGGAAAAATGTTCTTCATTTTTCTGCCATTTTACATTACAACTAGCCTTGTTTGTCTCCAAATACTTGTTCATTTTTTACTTTAGATAATAGCCGTTTTAAAGTGCCTGACAACTAGTGAAAAAGTAAATGCCTTCTAATTGCTTATGTAAGAAGGCAAAGTGCTGTCTTTTGAGTTAATCATTTAAATGACCTAGATTAGTTTAGCTTGTATTTGGTTAGATGGATGGTTGGATTACTTAATAAAGGCAACTCATTATTGAACAAAAAATAAAAGGAGGAATGTTACTTTGATCAAAGATGTAAGAAAAGGAATCCAAATTCAAAATGCCATGATCTGTCTTCAATGAAATTTTCATAACTCTGACATGACGCCACAGTGTATAAACAACTAATAGTGCAGTAATTCCATCAAATGAATTTTTTTAGTGATGTTAGTTTCAGTCTCTATTTCATTTCTCCTCTGCAGAGTCTGTCACTGTGCCATAAACGCTGTCAGCACATTTACAGGCCTGTTAAAAAAAGCAACACACCATGCCTTACAGCTGCAGACTACTCTGATGGTGATTTGGGACTCTAAAGTTCTGTGTTCAGCCATATAGGGTTTCAATTTGGAGCCAGACCACCTAAAGCTCCATCTATCTTATCGGTTCCTTGCAATAGGTGATTTCTGCAGCCACTTGCTATACTAATATATACACTGGTAAGAGTCTCTTGACAGGGTGTAATGATTGAACATATTTTTTTCATAAGAGCATTTGTATGTGTAGAATAAATTACCTAATGCTTGGTTGAAGATATGATGACAGATTTTAAAGAAAGCAAGAAAAAAAAGAAGAAAAAATGGAAAGCTCTATGGAAAGCCATTAAACATGGACTTTCTGCTTAGTCTATAGAGACTGAGTGACAATGAATCTGCTTGTTATGTTTTATATGAAAGAGGTTGTTTCATCCTGCACCAGATTTCCTAGACCCCAAGGAAAGTGAGTGCTCGGTAATTGCTTTCACAGACCACACCACATGAGTCAATATATTTTAAAGGCATTGTCCAAAAGTCTTCCTTTTAAGAGAGTAGAGATTGATGACTATTGATGTCTGTCAAGTCATTTATGAGATAAGAAAAACAAGATGGCATTTTATTGGAGATACGGAGTTCAGGGAGAGAAAAGTTTTGGACTTCTACCTTTCACTTTATTGTTTATGCATAAACATGATCTTTGATTATTTTGGTTTTGCTTCAAAACCTACACAGGACAGTCTTTTTATGCATTTACTCACATTATGAACATGTTCTCATGATAGACTGTATCTAACTGTCTGTAAAACATAATTTTGTCAAATGCAAATGTATTTTACCACTCTTTGTCCTTTCTCTTTTGCCTCTCCCTGGTTCTTTATCCCTCGGTTCACAACAGGGGAGGAAGGTAAGTGTTCCTCAGTAACTTACTCTTATATTTCTTTTCTTTTGCTTCTCACTCTCTCTCTTTAACTTATTAATAAATATCATTCCAGGATGTTTCATTTGTTTCATAACTATGAATCTGTGATGGAAACTTTATTTGCTGTGTCTATTTACGTGGCCTAATCTTTTGATTATTAAAATAACCTCTTTATCCTTTTGCCATTTATTTCAACAACTCAAATGTACACTGATCACCAATGACATTAGAAACACCAATATCAAACTGGCATTATGGACTTTGAGGTGCTTTGACTTCAGTAGCATGTGTGGTTGGTCAAGCTTTATCTAAAATTCAGTAAACATTCCTTAAAATGTTTTATTTAAAATGTTGTATTTGCCCTTAATTTGAGCAGGAAAATACAATGATCTGCCAGGGGAATGAGTATTCTTTCGCTCAAAATAAGATGATTTGGTACTATGCACTTAAAATAAGATAAATAAGTTATTTTTCCTCATTTTAAACTTGAATAATCTTATTACATTGGCAGATTGTCATACTTTTCTGCTCAAATCAATTGAGAATAAACAAATTATTTTTTTTAATACATTTATATTTCAGTATTCCCCTAGTTGTGGAAATTTAGAAAGACCTTTTGACCAAACAGTTATGGTTTATGGATGAAACCAGAGTACATTGGGAGAACCCACAGTGAGAATGCCGGATTTCCAGAGGTGTACAGTAGTAGTGGTAAACAAAGTAAACTACATTTACCTTGTTACTGTGCTTAAGTTATTTTTTTTGAGGATCTGTACGTACTTTTACAGGACTTTTACAACAGAATAGAATAGAGTAGAAAATCATTTTATTGTCCCACAATTGGGAAATGTTGGTCTTTACAGCAGCAAAAAGATTATAGAAAAAGTTGTCACACAAATATGGACCTTAAAACATTTATAAGAATAACATAATAGTGAAGAGTTAAAAGATAAACAGTAAAATACTTTACTGTAATGTGTTTTGACAATATAAAAGCTGTGCACCTAGAGGATAAATAACCAATATACAACTATGGAAATTTTTACAGTAATGGATATATGAAAATAGCAGCAACATCAGAGATGTGCAAAATGACAGCAGCATGTCATTTAACCGACTATGGTAGAAACAGTGCAAATTCAGCATGAATTTAACAACTTATTGAGATTTTTGGGAACAGTGGTGGTTATAGTGTCTTACAGCTGCTGGGGGGAAGGATCTGTGATAACACTCTTTGGTGCATTTAGGATGCAGCAGTCTGTCACTGAAGGAGCTCTCCAGTACTGCAACAGCTTCAGGAATTTTACTTACATTTCATTATGTTATAGATGTAAAAAATGTACTATTACTTACTTAAAAATCTCAGCTACAAATTAAAATATTTACAGAATGTACAGTATCACGAAAGGATTGTTTATATGGAATCTGCGTGTAAACAAGAGAAGAACAACTGTGCTCTGTTTGTTCTGGTCCATATATCGTACTGATCAGTGATGCATTGTTTTTGCCAAGCTTTTAAGGTTACTTTTTAGTATTCCTATTTAAAAAATAGAATTTTTAATTTATTTTATTTTTTCCTAGGTGGGGGAATTATTTATACTGATACATTTCCTTCTAAATATTGTCCTAAAAGCTGCTAAACCAAAGTTACCACTTTACCGTTCTGCATTAGTGGTTGTAAAATGTAGTGAAATTTATCTTGTTTTGCTTGTATATTATTTAGACACAACACTTTTCTTTTTTTTTTTCCTTTCTCTAAGACAGAGTGGACATATTTATATCTCACAGAAAGTACTTTTCTCATGCAGACAGTACAGTGGATGCATGTCCTTTATCAGGTTATTCTAAGTTCTTATGGACAGAAATGTTTGAATACTATATTTTCTTAAGGCTAAAGTGAGTTTTCAGCAAGTTGTACAAGTTCTGATGTTTTGCTTTTGTAAAAATAAGTAAAGGGATCAATACTTTTCCATTAGTGACTTTTAGTTGTACCAAGGTAATTTTCAATTAAGGTATTTTTACTTTCAATTTCTTATATTTTTTTATACATTATACATCTCTGGCAATTTCAGTACAAAACAACCCCAGGACCTTCTTGTTGCAAGGCAACAGTGAGAACAAAGATCCCGCTTTCGGTAGCTTAGATAAAATTTACGTAGACCAATGCCTGTCAATAACTGTGTGATGAATATGAAAGAATGTTTAACATTCATGCTGAATGTTGCAGTCTCTATATTTTGAAGCACAAATAATAAGAAACTTAATTCTCTTTATTCTAAACAGATGAGCTGCTGTTTTTAAAAGCCACACATACTAACACATGCACACATGACAAAGACGGTTAAATGTTTTATTTGAAATGTCTTATTTATGAGGTGGAAATATCAAGAATACAGTTCTTTCTCATGAGAACACTTAATGCTTCATAAAAAACTTAAGTAGATAATCTTAGGTCCATCCTATCACAGCATACATCACTGTAACAACCGCACCCATTTCAAAGTGTAAGCCAATCCCCCCATAGTTTTCAGACACTGCTCCAGACAAAGGTCATCAGATGATGGACCAAAAACAAACCTTAAATATTCCAGACAAGGCCTACAAGACAAGAATGTTGTCAGTTTTCTTTTTTTGCATCCCTGAGACAAGAAAAAACATATTCTTGTGGATTATTTATGGCCTTAATCATCTTTAAAACACACCTCCTATGAGAAGTTTGTAATAATCACAAACATGTATCAGTGACTGTCTTTGATTTTGTTGAAATAGAGTTTCACAATTTTATATTCTGTACAACTATGGCTTGAGTGTGATTTCTTTGTGACACAGTCATTTGTTAAGATTTTATTTTTAAAATATATGATGTCTGATTCCAGAGTGGGAGTTTCACAAACACATTTTCAGAAAAATGTTTTATAAAAAAAAAAAAAGTTAAAGCGTCCTGCAAATGTTTTTTTAATGATTATAATTTTATGGGGATTCAGCTAATGTGTGTTTCTCTGTTTACCGTGTGTGTTGGTGTGCAAGCATTTATGTGGTCTAAATCGCACTTATGAGGCAAAAACTGGATCTTTCTATTTCCAAAAGCTATAGAGACTATCCAGCTGGAGAAGTTTGACAATTTTGGTTACACCTACATAGCTCCAAGGTGAGTATACTTTACATTACTTTCATTGAAAAGATATTAGGAAAACAGACAGGGAACATTTAAACTGAAACATATTTCTTCAGGGAATACTGCAAAGAGTTGAAGCTGTCACTCAACAACACCCAGTTTCTACTCGACTTCCACCAGTACATTGATAAAAGTACTGCAGATGCATGTGAGTCATGCATCTCCTTCATTGCAAACTCAGTTGCCACCTTAGCAGTTTTGTTAGTTTCATGTATTGTTTGTTCTCAGTTTGTATTTTAGAGACAATTTTTTTTTACCCCTGAAAGATTACAGTTTGTTGCAGTCTGCCATTAAAAGTACAGAATTCAACAAATGTGGTGGTACATAAATAGTAAATGCATGGCTTCTTTTAGTATGTAATATGGCATTGATATAATTATCTTTATTTAGATATTATGATCTCAGGTTCTTTACAGGATGGATTCAGATTAATAGACTGAGATTCCTAGAAGTACAATGCAGTCATGCAGTACAATGACTCATGCTTTTTTAATGTGGCCTTCTAATGGATTAGCCCTCCAGTATGGTTTATCAGTATCCTAAAAATGGATTGCTAAATCCATCATCCATTTTAGTGCAGTCATATCAAACAATTTGAAATTGATGCTCTTTTTTAATTCTGATATTTTTACTTTTTAATAAAAGATTACTAGCATTTCTTAAAGCCACACAGTAGAGTTGCTGTATTGAAATGGTGTTGTAACTTTAAAGGCGCTGGCTCAGATGATGTCATTTCAGAAAGTATATCCCTCGACAAGAACGCTGAAACCCAATCCCTGCATCATCTGCCTCCCAACAGCCAGTCCTTCACAAAGCTTTGTCTGATCACTAACATATATTGGCCATGCAGGTCACCCTGCTGGATGATTTACTGAAAAATGCCATGACGTAATTTTTTTTTTTTTTTAGTATATTAGGGAACAAAAGAGTTGGCAGGTGTTTTTCCCTGACTATTATGTTTTTGTAGTGAATCACTGGTAGTGTACCATTAGCTAATTACCAAATTCAGTGTTCAGCCTACCAATGGCTTTCAACCTATATTCTTTATTCACAAATTATATATTTGATAAATCATTTTCCATGTAATGTGGTGTTAACATTAGTAATATGTGAAATCTATCTTGTCTTTTATCCACAGGCAATGAGTCACTAGTGAAACGACTCATCCTTGATGCAGGTCTGACAGCTGAACTGGTTAAAGTTTGGAAAGAGCAGTTAGTGTGAGCACCGAACATACCAGCTTTTTTATGATTTTAGCCATTTAAATATACAGTCTTTCTTACTTGAAAAAAACATGAACAGTATTGTTTAAATGAAAGTGATATCTTTGGTATATCGTTCTATGCTACATTTGCACATTCTTTCTCTGAACTTTAAGAGTTGATGCTTGTTTGATGCTCCATTTAATGGCAAGCAAAAGCAAAGTTTAAGCTTTTTCTTCTCTATTATGGATGATTTGGTCTAATCTCTCTAGTGAAACATGATGAAAGCATAGCATAAAAGGCATATTACACCCAGCATACCGAACTTAGCCCAGGCCTGCTATTTTGAGAAGAAAACAAAGTAATCACATCAGTGTGTTCCCTTTTATTGTGTGCCCATATGTCTGAAATAATCTCTAACACGTTTACACACTCTAAAGGGTGTCTGTTCATCATTAGAGCATACAAAACCAACAATTGACCAAGCTTAAACATAAACATATATGATTTAACTTCAAAAGATTATTAACTTGTTTTTGCAAAAGGTGGTGTCATTAACTTTCACGTTATTTTGTGTTGGGCTCTGTTTTTAGGGATGGAACGGTGGCAAGGTTTGTCGCAACAGATGGAGGAATCACTAGAGTTTTTCCAAGAAGGTATTCTTCTATTTTTATTTTTTTTTTATCCTCACTTAGAGTGTATTCCTGCATGTACTCATATTGGAATATAATCATTAAAAAAAAAAACAAAGTAAGGGGGACATACAGTTGGAAATCACAAAAGTCACAGGTAGTTGCTCTCACTCAGGAACAGCATGTTTGTGGTTTTTTTCTTGCCTTTCACATCTCTGATGACTAGCAATATGGGAAATTTGTAGATTAAACTACTATGTACAGTGTTCTTAACCAAATGCAACTTTTAAACATCAGTTGATCCTTTAGATCAGTGTCTAAAACTCAGGAAATCAAGGGGACATCATTCTGCAACTTTTAGCTGTGTCCTTTGCAGTTGCAAAGATATAAAAAAGTAATATAACAATATGAAAAATTCAAGTGAATACATCTGAATAATTAAGATTATAATAAAAATAATCACAATAAAATAATTTATAACAAAATGAAAGAAAGACTCGCTAAACTTAAACTAACAAGGTTTTAAGAGCACAGTCATATAGTGATAAAAAAAAAAAAAATAACTTTTGTATGGAGTCCAATGTACCCCACTTGTAACTACATTTAAAAAGTAAAATCACAGAGTTTGACAGCAATTTATTCTATATTTATTTATTTTCTATGGTAAGTTAATTATTATTACTGCATATTGTGAAGCCATAGCTGACTGCCTCTTACCAAAAGAAGTCAGCAGTCATATTTTATGCACGCAAATAAAATTAATTAATCGTGGTAACCAGCAAGTTGTAGTGTGACTGTAACTAGCTAGCTATAATTCCAAAACAACAAATCCTTTAGTGGCTTCAACCGGATAGGAGCTGAAAATTCGTCCAATCAGATCCATCAGAATAACAACTCCCCCCCGACAGACAGAAACGCCACTAAACAGATCGAGCGACCGTAATTTTTCTACAGGAGCACATAGATGGGTAGAGGGGTCGGGATTTGCTGCATTGCGGCTGTGCTGCATTCAACAGCGCTCTAATAACCATACACACCTGCGATAACAGCTATGCTCTCGGTTATTAAATGCATGGCTATGATTAATAATTGCAGTATTCTGATGCCTAACATGCTATTGTGTTTTTTGGCAGAAATTTGACACCATAATCTTTGTACTGAAGCAGACGCTCAGTGTTCTTCCTTTATAGCAATTTCATGCTGCAGTAAAAACAACTAGTGATCAGCATTGAAAGATGACTAAATTACCTATGGCTCATTAGTATTGAAACAAAACTACTACAGAAGTCGAATTCATTACATACTTTAGGTTGGAAAAAAAGTGATATAAAATTAGGACTCCTGTTGGATTGATGAATGAGGATATGAACTAGCATATCCTAGTTGGCCATATTCTTTAGGTTGCCTTGTTGGAACTAGGTTAAATCACATGGTTTTAGGATTTCTTTACTTTGTTGTTGCATAAATTTTGCAGTTTGCTGATTTCTTAGAGGTTTCTTTCTGTATTGATATGAAGCATTGTGCCAGGTTTTTCAGTTTCACATCTAGGATACAAATAGTCTACACCATTCCCAAGTTCATCTATTTGATTGAAATTTGATGAGGCTATTTCGGTCAATAACAATCATCTATGTTCAAAGAATTTTAATCGGAATACTTGACCATTGTTGTATGATACATTAAGACCCATATATCCTCTGCGTTTAATACACAGATGCCTATGGATGTACCTTATGCTTCATTTTTTTATGTTTATTTCATGCATATTTTAGTCTGTCTTTATCGAATTTGCAGATGCCTAGCCAGAGGCAAGAAATAACAAATTATCAACTTCTTTTATAAGAGTAGTTTATTTTTTTCGGCTAGTTTTCCTTAAATCAAAGAGATAGGTGTGCATTAGTCGCAGACCTTCAGCGCTTTCTGAAAAGCATAGACCAGCCTAATACCAAAAACCCTGTATCTACAAAATCTTGTATCCCTTGTTCTTCCCAATTCTCATGGTCAACTTTTTACTACAACAGCCACGTCTGGTACCTAAATTCAGTGAGTTGCTGCAATGTGGTTGGCAGATATGGTACTACAGTATGTTAGTATGCAATTTAGTATTTGTATTAGTATGCAATTTAGTATTTGTAATAAAGTGTCCTTTGAGTGTAAACTTCAAATTTTAAACAGAAATATAATAATAACTTAAACAGGAATCTAGGTAAAATACTCTTTGAGTTGTATTTACATTAAATTCACCATTGTTGGCACAACATATGTTTACAGTGCTGGAGAAGAATGGACAGAGAATCCTGAGACATATGAGTCCAGCTTCTACAAAAGGACTTTGGACAATGAAATATATATATTCACAGCCCCATCTTTCAACGGTAAGTCTGCATGTATTAGGATCGTAAACAAGGTCTTGTGTAATGGGGATTTGCTTCACTGCCTTTGGACGTGATCCAACCATTACTGGCAACTATTGGACTGTTTGGCCTCTTATTTCGTTCGCTTTATCCTTGTGCTTTTCCTGCTGGGTTTTTCAGGGCACCCCCACCCCATACCCCCTTCCTCTGTATACATCCTGTCATCCCCCACTGATCTTTCTAACAGACATCAGCACTGGCAAATGTCAGTGAAACAGCTTCGGTACACTCGACTGGATTACCACATGTTCTGTTTTCATAGAGTTCACTCATAAATTGGTGACGGAAAATGAATGGAATCTTTAACAAAAGCGTCCAGTGTTCATTCTTTTAATTGTTTTGCCCTGGGAAAAAATTGTCACATGCTTTCATACATTTATTTAGATTATCTGAAATATATATAAACATTTGTATTTTTATTTTGTGTAACTGTGTAAAACTGCAGCAGAGTTCAGGGAGCCTATATCTGAATCCGGGATCCTGGTGAGCAAAGCCATAGACCTTTTCATCGACGATGTCATGCTTAAACCAGCAGGTCAGTTTTGTAAAATAAGAGTGGTTGATTTCTAATGTAACACAAAATTAAAACCGTTTTTGTATTTCCTGGTTTGGTCTATAGTGGTGGGAATAAAACTCAATGTCTCCTTCTGGATGAGCAGTTTTATCAATGCAACTCTGAAAATTAACGTAAGTAACGTAATTTTTTTCAATATTTTATATTTACGGTACTTGAGATGTATCTATTGCTGTCTGCTTAAAAACCGCTGTCTTCTTTGCTTGTAGTGTAAGGATGAGATTTGTGGCTGTCTCAGGAATGACAAGGTGCATCAGTTCTCTATGAATCGAGCAAACAATTAGTGTATTAAACATAGCATCCATTAATCTGAGTATTAGGTGTCCAGTTTTCATTTAACCATTTATATTTTTCTCTTTTGCAGCATGTGGACTGTGTAATATTGGATGATGGAGGCTTTCTTCTCATGTCAAATCAAGAGGAGTATATTTCCCTGGTGAATCCCATCTAACACTATCTTTAGCTCACTTAGATTTGTTTTAGGTTATTTATTTCTTAGTTTATTTAGCCCCAATTTATTTTATCTCTACCTATATTAAATATGAAAATTAAATATTTGATTTTGTGGTCAGCATTTCCCAAAGTTTCCTTTAATGCAATGTGTTTTTCTGTGTAGAACCAAACATTATTGTGTCAGAACTGACTGCGGTTACTACATTGTTGTAGGTGGGAGAGGGAGGAACCTTTAAGAGCATTTCAGAAATTTTTCACCTTAGGGCTTGGAAAGTCAGAAAATTCAAGTCAGAAAGAACTGTGATCATGATCTTACCACTGAAACATTGGGGATTTTTTTTTTTTTTTTATTATAGCTTGTTATGTTGGAACTTATTCGCTGTAATTCTATGGTTAAACATATTTTTTTCTTATCTTAGCTAAACCTGTCATAGCTAATCATATGTTAGGATACATCCCCATAGAGCTGAACAATATATACAGACAGAAAAGTTTGAGCATAAAGTTGAAATCGGGGAAGAGCCAGGGAAGCTGTAATAGGTATTGTAATATCTATGCTGCACCAGTAAGTGTACTGGTATATATACACTGAATTACAGAAAGTGTTCACTCACCGGCCTTGGCCAACATATGTGGTCAAGTGACATCCCATTCCAAATTCATAGGGGTTGAATAAGACGTTGGTCCACGCTTTTTAGCTACAACAGCTTCAACTACTGTGAGATGGCTGTCACAAGGTTTAGGTGTGTGTTCATAGGAATGTTCAACCATTCTTCCTGAAGCGCATTTTTAGGGTAACACAGTAATCTTGGATGAGACTGCCTGGTCCTCAGTCTCCAATACTCTAATTCATCCCAAACTTGTTTTATTGGCTTGAAGTCAGGTCTGTCAAATTCATCCATGCCAGACTTTACCATCCATGTCTTTACTGACCTTGCTTCGTGCTCTTGTGGACAGTCATGTTTGAAGAGAAAGGCGCCAGCTCCAAACTGAGTGCAGTGTCCAAAATGTCTTTGTATGCTTAAACATTTAGAGTTCATTTCACTGGAGCTAGGGCCAAACACAGCTCCTGAAAAACAGTCCCACAACATCATATCCTTCTCTACCACACATGGCACAGTCAGACAACTATCGATCTCCTTGCAACTGCCAAACCCAGACTTGTCCATCACTGCTCTTGGAGCTATGGATGCAATGGCTTTAAACCGCTGTAACAAACTCTTTGCTTTACTATTGGTGATGTATAGCTTGGATATAGATGCAGTTATTGAGGTATTTTGAAGGCCATGTGGAGCCACGGACCGCTGCCTCAGTATGTTGGCAGGATCTGTACGCCTCCTGGACACTAAGGCATGCAGGGAAGATTGTGGCTGATTCCTCGCACACTAGCCACAAATTATTTCAGACACTCCCCTCTGGCAGAAGGCTGCAGTCCATCAAGACCAAAACTTCACACAACATGAACAGTTTCTTCCCATCTGCTACCAGCCTTATAATCAAGGCACAGAGACCCCTGTGACACTAACACTGCCTCTTTCCCTCACCGTTCAAGACCTACAAGCTACACCATCATAGCATCTCCAGACCTCCTGCATTACATTAACGCACAGTCTACTGAGTATATTGTATATAGCTATGTACTATGTGTTGTATATAGTATATTGTATTTTGATGGGGTATGTACTGTAGCTATAGATTCTGTATATATATCTAATTTTTCTGCGCCTTCAACACTAAATCAAATTCCTTGCAAGTGCATACCTACTTGACAGTTAACTTGATTCTGATTCTGAATCTGACTAGAGTTTTGCTCTGTCAGTCTACGTGGCCATCAACTTTGTGGCTGATTTGCTGTCGTTCCAAAACACTTCCATGTTCTTAAAAAGCAGCGAACAGTTTGGAACATTTAGGAGTAAGGAAATGTAACAATTGGATTTGTTGCACAGGTGGCATCCTATCTATGTTCCTGAGTGACCAATTCTATCACATATGTTTTCCTGTATGGGCACTGTGAGGTCAATTTTACAGGAATAAATTTGCCTGTAAGTCCCCTCTACATTGTGGGGGCTTAAAGTTTCTTATGGGGAATACATGACTTGTCCCAATGAGGAAAATTTATTTTCTTGGGTTTGGGGTTAGATTAAGAATTAGTTATAATTTGGTGCTATCCCAGAGTATAGAAAGGGTCTTGGTTAGACTAGCAAAAGGAATGGGAAATGATTAAAGTCAATGCAAATTTCAAAGTCCCCATAAGGAGTATAAAGCATGACTGTGTATGTGTGTTGGCTTTTCAGTTTGTTTTCAGTCTGCTTATTGTTTATGAATTCCTTTCTCTCATCAATACAGTTTTGAATAGGAAAAATGTTTTGGAGAAAATAGAAAACAGCTGCAAGCTTTTTTATGAGCTTCTTACAAACTTACATTTTTTTCTGTGCATGTGTGTATTTTCCCCTGTAAACTCATCTAGATAGGTCAGTTCTTCGGTGAGGTAGATCCAGTGCTGATGATAAACTTAGTCAACACATCCCTATACTCCTTCAAAAAGACATATGACTATCAGTCTGTGTGTGACCCAGAAAAAGACAACAAGGCGGCTGCAGGACTGCGCTCCATATATGTGGTTTGTGAAACAATCTTTACACAGACATTTAAATTTTTTGCAACCACCTCTATATGTCCAATTCACTTCCCTTTCCCCTCTCAGCCTACTATTGCAGATTTCCTCAGCATAGGCTGGTGGGCCTCCAATGCTGCTTGGTGAGTACTTATCATATCTGTTAAGTGGAACTATTTGTGTTTTCATTTGAGAGTGAAGTTATACTTGCTGATATGACTGTATTTTAGAGAAAGATGACTCTGACAGGGGCATGATGAAATTTGGAAAGTCACAAAACATTGCACTGCATTTTTTTTCTGCAAGGCTTTCCAAATGCAGTAGTATGACCTTTTATCACGTAATGGCTAATATTTCCCTTGACATTTACAATTACAACTGAATCTAACTTCTGTCAGATCTTTTGCTTCTTCCTAACAGCTAATGGTGGTAAACAAATTAAAGATGTTCAAAACACGTGGTAACAAATGACAATCTATGATGTTTCCATGTTTTCTATGTATTAGGTCAATACTTCGACAGCTGTTGTTTGGTCTTCTGTTCCCAAACCTTGTAGAAGAAGGTAAGGCCAATAGTTTTTTTTAGCATTTTTGAACTAACATGAAAAAGTGGATCTTCTTGAGAACATTTGTGTCTATTAAGCCCAATTCACAGTAGACTTTAAATTACTCTGTAACTTTGCTTTGTACTAAACCACCTCTAGTTTAAGTCTTGCATTAGAGGAGCAACCAACACTGGCATTTCTTAGGCCTGGGAACATTGGGGTCTGAGCTTTTATTTTATGGTGCATTGTTGCTGGGCTGAAATGTTCTGGGCTGAAATGTTGTGTCCAAACTAATAGTATGGCCTGTGATGTTATTGGTATCTGTGCATCCCTAGCTCCAACTATTGAAATATTATCTGATTGACTCTCAGGTCAATTACAAATAATTTTACCTACTCTCTTCTGATACCTAACAACATGCTAGGTATCATGTTTTTAAGACCCAGATTTATAATGCTTTAAAAAACACAAGATATATTTAGTTCTCCCAGCATCACTAGACACTAATTGCAAATGTGTGTGCTCATTTCGGCTTTGGAACCCTAGTCCTTAGGTTCAAATCAGTTTACATATGTAATAATATGTAATAGAGCCAAGCAGTGCATTAAATGCATGGTGCAAGTGTGTTGATCATAGATAGATTTAAGGCTAAAGCAATTAATAGAGCTAATCATGATTAATTGGTTATTAAATAATTGTTAAGTAATGTAGTAATCGATAAATAATTTACTGCAATATATAGACTCACATTAGCTGAAAGAAGCAACCTACGCAGAGCAGTAATTATGCAAAAATTTTACAAAATAATAAAAATGCTTTGCATTTATAATGAAAAATTATTTTTGTCCAACATATATTCTACAGAACTTCTCAAGGGGCTTAGATTTAGCTTCACCTGGTTTAAATTCGTATCTATACTTCTTTAAGGCACCTTTTTCTATCTGATTATTAATCAATTAATCATACAAATAATCAAAATATTAATTGCTTGTCTACATAATAGTAAATTGCAGCCCTTGTTAGATCATTGCCAGCATGGTGGTGTTGTGATAAGATGACAACTATTGCTTCAGACTGATGATCAAGTCTTGCTGGAGCTCCAGTTTTTAATCACTTTATGAATCCACACCCAATTCACACAACATATTCTCATTATCAGTTCGTATGAAATCGTACGAAAAGTTATGCACACTATTT